ATAGAATGGTGGTTGCCAGGGACTGAGCAGAGGTTAGGGGCTAAATACGCAGTTTCACTTAAGCTGCTGAATAAGCTCTAGAGATCATGTTTATAACTTTGTATGTATTATTAAACAAGCCATATTGTACACTTAAAAATCTGTGTACCCATGTAAAATGTTCAGTACACCACAGTATTCCCCTCTTACCTATGGGGAATATGTTCCAAGACTCCCAAGTGGATGCCTAAAACTGGTTAGTACCAACCCCTCAATTCCTTTTTCCTGTTCATATATACATACATAAAATTTATGAATTATGCACAGAGAGACATTAATAACTAATAGAATAGCTGTAACAATACACTATAATAAAAGTTATATGAATGTAGACTCTCACAATATTTTATTATATCTTTACATTTTCACTTAAATGAAGAACTGTCCAGGTTTCTTTAGCATATCCAAATTGCCAGTATTGATACTTCTGTGCTTTGGGGCTAATATTCAGTAAACTAAGGATTATTTAACCACAAGCACTGTGGTACTGTGGCAGTCAGTCTGATCACTGAGATGGTTACTAAATAAATAATGCATAGGTGGTGTATACAGCGTGGATACAAAGGAATGATGATTCCTTTGTCCAGGATGGGACAAAGTAAAATGGCACAAGATTTCAAAACAGTATGCAGGTGCTGGTGTGGAGGCACAGCGAGTTAAGCCACTAGCATTCTGTGGGTGCCAGCTCCCTGCTAATGGGCCTGGAAAAGCAGCAGCAGATGGTCCCAGTGCTTGGGACTCTGTCGCCCATATGGGGGACCCAGATGAAGTTCTGGGATACTAACTGGCTTGACTGCTGGATTTGGGGAGTGAACCAGCAGATAGAAGATCTCTCCCAGGGGCTGGCGCCATGGCGCACTAGGTTAATCCTCTGCCTGTGGCTCCAGCATCCCATATGGGTGCTGGTTCTAGTCCCAGCTGCTCCTCTTCCAATCCAGCTCTCTGCTATGGCCTGGGAAAGCAGTAGAAGACGGCCCAAGTGCTTGGGCCCCTGTACCCGCATGGGAGACCAGGAAGAAATGCCTGGCTCCTGGCTTCAGATCAGTGTAGCTCCAGCCATTGTGGCCATTTGGGGAGTGAACCAACAGAAGGAAGACCTTTCTTTCTGTCTCTCTCTCACTGTCTGTAACTCCACCTCTCAAATAAATAAATAAAAATCTTTAAAAAAAAAAAAAAAAGGATCTCTCCCTTTGTCTCTGCAACTCTGCCTTTCAAATAAATAAATCTTAAAAAAAAAAAAAAAAGATTATGTTCAAGACCTAATCCCCATTACCTGTTTATATGACTTATTCAGAAGTGGGGTCTTTGCAGGTGTAATCAAGTTAAGATGGAATCATCCTAGATTACAGTGGACTCTGTGTGATTGTTTTTTAATTTGAAAGGCAGTTGGGCGGGGGGAGATTTTCTATTCTCTGTTTTACTCCCCAAATGGATGCAAGGGCAGTGGCTGGCCCAAGCTGAAGCCAGGAGTCAGGAATTCTATCTAGGTCTCCCATATGGATGACAGGGACCCAAGCACTCAGGCCATCTTCTGCTGCTTTCCCAGGTGCATTATCAGGGAGCTGGATTGGAGGCAGAGTTGCTGGCACTCAAACTGGTACCCATATGGGATGTGGTTTCGCAGGCCACAGCTTACCCCATCACACAACAGCATCAGCCCCAGGATTATACTGGGCTCTAATTCAGTGACTGATATCCTTATAAGGAGGGAAATTTAGACTGCTTTGTGACTTTGGCATCAGAAATTGGAATAATGTGTCTGCAAGCCAAGGAACATGCAAGATTGCTGGCAACTGCCAAAAATGAGGAGACAGCTATGAAGTAGATTAGAGCCTCTGAAAGAAACCAGGATTACCAGGCCGGCGCTGTGGCACAGCGGGTTAACGCCCTGGCCTGAAGCTCTGGCATCCCATATAGGCACCAGTTCGAGACCTGGCTGCTTCTCTTCCAAGCCAGCTCTCTGCTGTGGCCTGGGAAAGCAGTGGAAGATGGCCCAAGTCCTTAGGCCCTTGCACCCATGTGGGAGACCCAGAAGAAGCTCCTGGCTCCTGGCTTCAGATAGGCACAGCTCCGGCCATTGCTGTCATCTGGGGAGTGAATCAGCAGATGAAAGACCCCTCTCTCTGTACAGACTCTACCTCCCTCTGTAACTCTTTCAAATAAATAAATCTTTAAAAAAAGAAAGAAAAAAAGAAACCAGCATTTCTAGCATCTTACTTTTTGGACCTCTAGCTTTCAGAGCTCTGTGAATTTGTTTTTTCAAGCTACCTGGTCTCTGATAATTTCCTCTTTTTAAATAATTTGTTTCAAGGTCAGCAGTATGGCATAGTGGACTAACCCTCCGCCTGTGGCACCGGAATCCCACGTGGGTGGTGGTTGATGTCCTGGCTGCTCCTTTTCCAGTCCAGCTCCCTGCTATTGTCTGGGAGAGCAGTAGAGGATGGCTCAAGTGCTTGGGCCCTTGCACCTGCATAGGAGACCTGGAGGAGGCTTCTGGCTCCTAGCTTCCAATCAGCTCAGCTCCGGACATTGCAGCCATCTGGGGAGTGAACCAGTGGATAGAAGGGCTTTCTCTCTGTAACTCTGCCTCTCAAATGAATAAATAAAATATTTAAAATATTATTTTTCCTTTATTTGAAAGGCAGAGAGACAAAGACAGAAGGATCTTCTATCTGATGGTTCACTTCAAAATGCCCACAACAGCTGGGTATCCCACTTGGGTGGCCAACTACTTGAGTCATCACCTGCTGCCTGCCAGGATGTGCATTAGCAGGAAGTTAGAATTGGAAGCAGAGCCAGGAGTTGAACCCATGCACCAGTGTGTATTACAGGCATCCCAAGCAGTGTCTTAACCCCTGCACCAAATGCCCTCCCTGGTGATAGTTTCTTAGAGCAGCCCTAGGACACAAATACAGAAGGGATGGGTATGTTTATTGTCATGATTGTGGTAATGGTTTGTTGATGTGTTAAATATGTGCATAAGTGTATATATGTATTAGTATTATTGCATATATATCAGTTATACCTTAGTAAGGCTGGGTGTTTTAAAAGAAGTAAAAAAAAGGGAAGGTCTTATTCAGAGAAGGAAAATCATTTGAAATATATTAAATTGTAAAAGGTACATAGAATAGGGCTGTAAGTTCTCTGTGCAAACAAATAAAGAGCTAAATAATTAACAGCATGAATACTGAGAAGTAGAAATTAAAGGTCAGGCCGGCACCGCGGCTCACTAGGCTAATCCTCCGCCTTGCGGTGCCGGCACACCGGGTTCTAGTCCCGGTCGGGGCGCCGGATTCTGTCCCGGTTGCCCCTCTTCCAGGCCAGCCCTCTGCTGTGGCCAGGGTGTGCAGTGGAGGATGGCCCAGGTGCTTGGGCCCTGCACCCCATGGGAGACCAGGAAAAGCACCTGGCTCCTGGCTCCTGCCATCGGATTAGCGCGGTGCGCCGGCCGCAGCGCGCCGGCCGTGGCGGCCATTGGAGGGTGAACCAACGGCAAAAGGAAGACCTTTCTCTCTGTCTCTCTCTCTCACTGTCCACTCTGCCTGTCAAAAAAAAAAAAAAAAAAAGAAATTAAAGGTAAGAAATGAATACCTTTCTGATTCCAGAAATGGTAAATTGTCGTTGGTAAGTGAAAATCTCAGAACTGTTGACAAGATGAGAAATTTCATCAAATATTTCATAGAGAAGACTGAAATTCAAATCATGTAATTATACAATATCACCCACCAGGAAATAACTAAATTGGGGTAGTTCTTAAACTACTGGTTTAAAAATCCAGAGAGGAGGGGCCAACATTGTGGTGTAGCGGGTAAAGCCACCACCTGCAATGCTGGCATCCCACATGGGCACCAGCTGGAATCCAGGCTGCTCTACTTCCAGTCCAGCTCCCGGCTAATGTGCCTGGCAAAGCAACAGCAGCTGGCCCAAGTGCTTGGCCCCTGAACCCACATGGGAGGAGATGGAATACATCTCTCCCTCTCTCTGTAACTCTGCCTTTCAAATAAATAATATAATATTTTTAAAAAAAATCCAGAGAGAAATTATCATTTTTTAAAAAAAATAAGTGTATACTACTTTGTTGTTGTTGTTGTTTTAAAATTTATTTATTTGAAATGCAGAGTGACAAAGACAGCGGGAAAGACAGAGAAACAGATCTTCTGTATGCTGACTCACACCCTAAAATGGCCACAACAACCAGGGTTGGGCCAGCAGAAAGCCAAGAGCCAGGAGCCAGGATCTCCTACATGGGTAGCAGTGGCCCAAGCACTTGGGCCTTCTGCGACTACTATTCCCAGGCCATTAGTTGGGAGCTGGATTGCAAATGAGCAGCTGGGACTCAAATTGGTGCCCAGAGGGGATGCTGGTTTTGCAGGTGGGCCACTTAACCCGCTGCACCACAACAACCCCCAGAGTCACACTGAAACTTTGTTTCATATATATATATATATATATACACACACATATATATGTAAAATAAATATACATATATCTATTTACATATATGTATATTTGTGTAAATATATATATATATAAAACTTATATGTACTAAATCTCATTCTTTTTCCTTATTTTCTGAATCAGAATTTCAATTGATGTGCATGTGGAATCTTGTTAACAAAGGGTCTAGTGCTTCTGAAAGGGAAAAGGCATTTTGGGAACCCCTGTCCTGGCTAAGCCTTCCCTTTGCAGGTGAGGACACTCGGGGAGTAGCCAAGCTTCTTTGTGGTAATAGCTCTTCCTGAGGTCAGAGTAGTGCTACCATCCTGGTCTCCTGTTAGTAGATACAAGTCTTTTTTACAATGTGATACTTGTGTTAGCACTTTCAATGGAAAATTATGTTTCATTTCAAATAAATGAAATATATCCCTTTGAAAGTTTTGGTTTCTTGTGCATGGGACTAATATAAACCGTGACCAAAAAAATCGCTGTGAACAAGGTTGGAAGTTTAACATAGACATTACCCTTACTTTTCTTCTTTCCAGGCGACTGAGTCAAAGACCAACACCAGAAGAACTAGAACAACGAAATATACTCCAGCGTGAGTCCAGCTGGGCAGTAAAGTTGTATAGATGTTCTTTGTAAATTTCTCACTTTCCTATAAATAAAAGAGAAAGTGAGTGTCTGCTGTAAGGGCTGAAGAGAAATGGTTTCATCCAGGAAAAAGCTATTCATATTTTCCCTTGAAGGAACAGTCCCCAAGCTTCCTTTGGAAGATGGCCTCATTGTTGTGTACTTGATATGCCAAAACTTTGTTTTTATGCTTCACAGTTTCCTGGGACTGCTGTGGGCATTTGAGAGGATTTGACTGTGTTTGGGAGATGTGGTCCAACACTTTCTATATCTTCCGGAGACTGAGGTGGTGGCTGTGCATTTCTGTTCCTAGTGGAATCTGATGGCTAGGGCCCAAAGCAAGTCCCAGATGCAGCAGTCTTCCTGTGGCTTTCACCCCATAGGATGTTTTTACCTCCATAGTCACCAGATAGAACCCTGTGACTGTCTACATAATTAGCTCCCTAATACCTCCTCACTGAAGAGGCATTGGCTTCCCTAGGATTACTTGTTTGCATGCTCATCTGACCAGTCCATCCTCTTAGCCCGGTGTGGTTATTTTATTTTATTTTATTAATTAATTTATTTAAAGATGTATTTATTTATTTGAAAGGCAGAGTTACAGAGAGGGATGGAGAGACACAGAAAGAGATCTTCCATCTGTTGGTTCACTCCCCAAACGACAGCAACAGCTGGCACTGGACCAGGCTGAAGCCAGGATCCAGGAGCTTCATCCAGGTCTGAAACACCTGAGAGGCCCAAACCTGAGCCATCTTTTGCTGCTCTCCCAGGCACATTAGCAGGGAGCTGGATCAGAAGTAGAGCAGCTGGGACTCCAGTCAGCACCCATATGGGATGCCAGCATCAAAGGCAGAAGCTTAACCCACCATGCCACAACACCAGCCTCCAGTTAGTAAATTTTCAACTGTGGAAGCCTCTGTAGACATGACACAAAACTAGATATGATCTCTATTGTCCAACCTTAGCTTGTGGACAGTAAAAATGTAGCTAGCCCACCAGATTTGGTCCCAGAGTTTGTTGACCTCTGCTCTTAAGTAACTGTATCTATTAACAAGAAAATTGTCTGGGCTGGCACCGCAGCTCACTAGGCTAATCCTCCGCCTGCGGCGCTGGCACACCGGGTTCTAGTCCCAGTTGGGGCACCAGATTCTGTCCCTGTTGCTCCTCTTCCAGTCCAGCTTTCTGCTGTGGCCCGGGAGTGCAGTGGAGGATGGCCCATGTCCTAGGGCCCTGCACCTGCATGGGAGACCAGGAGAAAGCACCTGGGTCCTGGCTTTGGATCGGCACAGTGCGCCAGTTGTAGTGGCCATTTGGGGGGATGAATCAACGGAAGGAAGACCTCTCTGTCTCTCTCTCTCACTAACTCTGCCTGTCAAAAAAAAAAAAAAAAATTGTCTGGAATAGCTATCCTCAAAGGTAGTATCTTATTTTGATTTGGAAATATAAAAAATATTTGTGGTATAATTATTTTAAAAGTTTGATACGCAGATTGCCATTCTGAAATAACACTTGTTTTTTTTTTTTCAATTGTAGCTAAAAATGAAGCTGATCGTCAGGCAGAAAAACGAGAGATTAAACGTCGACTCACTAGAAAGGTACCACTTCCTGTGTGTTTGATCTCGTTCTGTCTACTGACAGTATGCCTTACACGTGGAAGACATACTGTCAGTAGAAACCAAGTATCAGTTATATTTGATTAGGAAGAAATGAAGTCGACTTAGGATGCCAGAGATTTCTATGAAAATATAATACATGGTGCAAATATAGAAAATAACACATTATCAAGAGTGTTTTACTTTCAGTATTTCAAAAATGCTTAACTCACGAAGCTGTTCAGTAAATATCTGAATAAATACTGACCTTTTATTTGGCAGACTTGGTATTTTCATGTGGACTCTGTTGTTGACATGAGATACAATAACAGGAGGAGTGTGTAGCAATCAGAGAAAGACTGAAAATAACCCTGAAAGTATATGAAAAGTATTAGATACCATCATTTTCTCCTTGGTCCCATATCAATTAGGATAGACCTGTTAGCTTTCGAGGTGAAATTAATCCCTTTCTCCTTTCCTCCTTTCCTTCTTACCATCAATTTGCAATTACCCCCTGTAATTCAATTTTTGAAGATTTATTTATTTATTTGAAAGAGTTACAGAGGGAGAGGGAGAGGGAGAGACACAGAGAGAGAGATCTTCCATCTGCTGGTTCACTCCCCAAATGGTTGCAGTGGCCAGGGCTGAGCCAGGCCGAAGCCAGGGCATCTTCCAGGCCTCCCCCATGAGTGCAGGGGCCCAGGCAGTTGGGCCTTCTGCTGCTGCTTTCCCAGGCACATTAGCAGGGAGCTGAATTGGAAATGGAGCAGCTGAGATTTGAACTGGCACTTGTGTGGGATGCCAGCGTTGCAAGCAGAGGCTTAACCTGCTATGCCACAATGCTGGCACCCTCCTGTAGATTCTGTTTAGATTTTTTTTTAAATATTTATTTATTTATTTGAGAGGCAGAGTTACAGACAGAGAGATCTTCCATCTACTAGTTCACTCCCAAATGGCTGCACCAGCTGGAGCTGGGCCGATCCAAAGCCAGGAGATAGGAGCTTTTTCTGGTCTCCCTCATGGGTGCAGTGGCCCAAGCACTTGGGCCATCTTCCAGTGTATTCCTAGGCCATTAGTAGAGAACTAGATTGGAAGAGGAGCAGCTGGGACATGAACCAGTGCCCATGTGGAATGCTAGCCCTGCAGGCGGAGGCCTAACCTACTATACCACAGTGCTGGACCCTAGATTTTATTTCTTAAAATGTGTAAATCCCCAGGAGACTTGGGGGAATCTAGATTTTTTATTTTAAGATTTATTTTATTTATTTGAAAGAGTTATCAGAGAGAGGCAGAGACAGAGAGAGAGAGAGGTCTTCCATCCACTGGTTCACTCCCCAGATGGCCACAGCGGCCGGAGCTGTGCCGATTGAAGCCAGGAGCCAGGAGCTTCTTCCGGGTCTCCCATGTGGGTGCAGGGGCCCACGGACTTGGGCCATCTGCTGCTGCTATCCCAGGCCATAGCAGAGAGCTGGATCAGAAGAGGAGCAGCCGGGACTAGAACCGGTGCCCATATGGGATGCCGGCACTTCAGGCCAGGGCATTAACCCATTGTGCCACAGCACTGGCCCATACATTTTTTCATGATTTATCTTATTTGTTCCCTTCCCAGGAAGAAAGGGATTATCCTTGACAATTCAAGGTCATGGCGTGAACTTCAGATTGAGCATATTGTGCAACTTTAAGTCATAAGTTGTTATACAGTCTGTTATCTTGAGCATTATTCATGTTGAAATAAAATTTATAAGAGCCTTGATACTCAAAATGTCTTCAGGAGTGTTGGTATGACCTTGGAAGTATCTAAGAGATACTAGAACCTCAGGTTCTACCCCAGACCTGCTTAATCAGGGGCCGGTGCTGTGGCATAACAAGTAAAGCCTCCACCTGCAGTGCCGGCATCCCATATGGGCATCAGTTCTAGTCCCAGCTGATCCTCTTCCCATCCAGCTCTCTGCTATGGTCTGGGAAAGCAATAGAAGATGGCCCAAGTCCTTGGGCCCTCTGCGCCCATGTGGGAGACCCAAAAGAAGCTCCTGTCTCCTGGATTTGGATTGATGCAGCTCCAGCCGTTGCGGCCAACTGGGGAGTAAACCAATGGATGGAAGACCTCTCTCTCTCTCTCTCTCTCTCTCTCTCTCTGTGCAACTCTGATTTTCAAATTAGTAAATAAATTAAAAAAAAAAATCTACATTTTAGCCAGACCCCCAGATGATGTGTATATATATTAAGGTTTAAGAAGCACTGGATTGGCCAGTGCCATGGCTCAATAGGCTAATCCTCCGCCTTGCGGCGCCAGCACCCCGGGTTCTAGTCCCGGTCAGGGCGCTGGATTCTGTCCCGGTTGCTCCTCTTCCAGTCCAGCTCTCTGCTGTGGCCCAAGAGTGCAGTGGAGGATGGCCCAAGTACTTGGGCCTTGCACCCGCATGGTAGACCAGGAGGAGCACCTGGCTCTTGGCTTCGGATTGGCGTGGTGCGCCGGCCACAGTGCAGCGGCCGCAGCGGCCATTTGGGGGGTGAACCAACAGAAGTTAGACCTTTCTCTCTCTTTCTCTCTCTCACTGTCCACTCTGCCTGTCAAAAAAAAAAAAAAAAAAAAAAAGTACTGGATTATAGTAAGTCTCAATCTTAGCTATGTATTGAAGAGCTTTAAAAAAAAAAATCCTGATATGTAGACTCTCTGGAGATGGGACCTGGGGATCAGTCGTGTTAAAAGCCTCCCAGTTGATTCCAAGTGCTATGGAGGGTGAAGCATTTGTTTAGAGGTGATTTGAGTACATGATTGATGCCTAACTCGGCACAGTGAACTAAGCAGCTCCGTTTCTTTCAGCTCAGTCAAAGACCAACTGTGGCTGAACTACTTGCCAGGAAGATTCTGAGGTTTAATGAGTATGTGGAGGTAACAGATGCTCAGGATTATGACCGACGAGCCGACAAACCTTGGACCAAACTGACTCCTGCTGACAAGGTAAGTGGATAGTTAAAGAATGCAGATGGCAACTGGAAGCTTTGGGAATTGATAAAATGTTGAATTTCAAATCCTGGGAAGGCATCTGTAGGGATACCCACATCCCAAATCAGTGCCTGGGATTGAATCCCGCCTGCCCCTTTGCCCTATACATTTCAGACTTTGCAGCCTCTGCAATCCTGTGAGAAATACCTTAAAATTCATTCAAGTTTCCATCCTCACATATTAAAAGTATAGGTCTAAACTCTGCACCGAATAATAATGTGAGACCCGGGTGAGGGTTTGGCACAGTGATTAAGTGGCCACAAGTCCCAGCTACTCTGCTGTGATCCAGCTTCCTGCTAACACACATGTTGGCCCAAATATTTGGGTCCCTGCCACCAATGTGGGAAACCCAAATGGAATTCCTGGCCCTTGGTTTCAGCTCAGCTCAGCTCAGCTCGGGGTGCTGTGAGCATTTGGAGATGGAAGATCTGTGTATGTGTGTCTCTTCCACTCTGTCACAATGCTTTTTAAATAAATAAATCTTGAACAACAATAACACACACACAAAAAAAATTAGGATACAAAATAGCAAGATATACAAACAAAAACTAATCTATATCAAGATTTAAAAACAGAAAGAGATAAAGTACATTTTTTAAAGTATTTTTGAATGACATTTTTTCCAAAATTTTTTTAAAATATATGAGATAGACAGCAAGCTCCATCCACTTGTTCACTCCCCAAATGACCACAGGGGCCAGCTAACACTGGGCCAGGCCAAAGCCAGGAGCCTGGAACTCATGCTGGGTCTCCCATATGAGTGGCAGGAACCCAATTATTTGAGCTGTCATCAGTGAATTAGCAGGAAGCTGCAATCAGGAGCCAGAAGCCAGTGTCAGACCCAGGTACTGCCATGTGGGACACAGACATAACTGCTAGATCAAACACATATTATATTATATTATATTATATTATATTATATTATATTATATTATATTATATATTAGGCTGGGAGGAAATTGGCTGGTGTATTTTAGTAATTACCCATATTTCACTTTTATAACGGAAAAAGCATTTTTACATGACCTGAAAGCTATGTTACAAAATCTCCTTTAAGTTTTTCCATTATTTGCTTTAACTCAAAATTTTTGCTTTATAATTAACTGAATGATATTAGGGAAAGTGATGAATATCAGGCTCAGAGCTTGGCATGTCCAGTCCTGGCTCCCTTCCTCTCTCTGGGTTGCCTGCCGGGGACTGCAGTGACTCAGAGTTAAGCACAGTGGTTCATGAATGGCAACTCATACTGCTGTACCACCACAGAGAAGATGCTGAGACAGTTTTGTTTCTATTCCACAGGCTGCCATAAGAAAAGAATTAAATGAATTTAAAAGCTCAGAGATGGAGGTGCATGAAGACAGCAAACATTTTACACGGTAAGACCCAAAAGACCAAATAGTCTGAGCTAAAAGTTGGCACTTCATCCAAAAGCAAACAAACCACAGATACTCAGAAAAGAACTCTAAGGACACTGTTAAAAAGGAGGACACTCAGTGATGATTACCAAAATTCAGAGAAGGGCATAAGAACTAAGAAGCCTGAGAAGTTTGCCAGGATTCATACTGGAATGGCACGGTTCCTGGCTGTATCAGTGTTGCCTGTTTTTGTTTTGTTAGTAGTGGTAATAAAGTGCTACAGTGAGCAAAGCAAGAGTAGGTTTGTGGTTTTTTTTTTTTTTTTTTCCTTTGACAGGCAGAGTTAGACAGTGAGACAGAGAGAGATGGAGAGAAAGGTCTTCCTTCCATTGGTTCATCCCCCAGATGGCTGCTTCAGCCGGCGTGCTGCACCCATCTGAAGGCAGGAGCCAGGTGCTTCCTCCTGGTCTCACATGCGGGTGCAGGGCCCAAGGATTTGGGCCATCCTCCACTGCCTTCCTGGGCCACAGCAGAGAGCTGGACTGGAAGAGGAGCAACCGGAACAGAACCAGCACCCCAACCTGGACTAGAACTCGGAGTGCCGGCACCAAAGCCAGAGGATTAACCAAGTGAGCCACGGCACCGGCCAAAGGAGTAGTTAGACAGAAGATGACGCTTAGGCTGGATAAGATTGGCAAAGAATTTAGCTGAACCGGAAGGAAGGAAAGAACATCGCTTACAAAAGCACCAGCAGGGGCCGGCGCTGTGGCATAACGGATAAAGCCACCACCTGCAGTGCCAGCATCCCATATGGGCACCAGTTTGAGTCCTGGCTGCTCCACTTCCAATCCAGCTCTCTGCTATGGGCTGGGAAAGCAGTAGAAGATGGCCCAAGTCCTTGGGCTCCTGCTTCAGCATGGGAGACCTGGAAGAAGCTCTTGGTTTCTGGCTTCAGATCAGCACAGCTGCAGCTGTTGGGGCCATCTGAAGAACGAACCATCGGATGGAAGATCTTTCTCTTTATGCCTCTGCTTCTGTAACTCTACCTTTCAAATAAATAAATCAATCTTAAAAAAAAAAAAAAAAAAAAAAAAAGCTGCAGCAGCAGTAGCACCAGCATTAGCCAAGCTATGGAGATAGGAAAGAGTGCACGGTGTTCTGAGTAACAGAAAGTATGTCTGGAGCAGAGGGTGTGTGAGGCGGTGTGGTGGAAGTAAGCCAGAGAGGTGGGTTCCTGGCCCACTCTGAAGAGTTTGACTCTTATTCTGGGATGTTGGAACCATTGGAAGATTATAAGCAGGGAATTCTGTGTATTCCAGAAAGATCTCAAGTGGAATCACGAAGGCTGAAGTGACCAGCAGCAAGGAAACCACTTAAAAGTGAACAAAATAATCACAGTGAGCATAGTGGTAGCCTAAATGGGAAAAGCTACAGTAAAAATGCAAAGGAGATTGAAAATTTTGTATTTATTTATTTGAAAGAGTTACTGAGAGAGGGAGAGAAATAGAGAGAAACCTTCCATCTGCTGATTCACTTCCCAAATGGCCACAACAGGCGGGGCTGAACTAGTCCAAAGCCAGCAGGAACTTCACCCAGGTCTCCCACGTGGGTGGCAGGGGCCTAAGCACTTGGGCCATCTCCTGCTGCTTTCCCAGGTGCTTTTACAGAAAACTGGAGGCCAGCGCCGCGGCTCAATAGGCTAATCTTCTGCCTTGCGGCGCCGGCACACCGGGTTTAGTCCTGGTCAGGGCGCTGGATTCTGTCCCGGTTGCCCCTCTTGCAGGCCAGCTCTCTGCTGTGGCCCGGGAGTGCAGTGGAGGATGGCCCAAGTGCTTGGGCCCTGCACCCGCATGGGAGACCAGGAGAAGCACCTGGCTCCTGCCTTCGGATCAGCACGATGCGCCGGCCGCAGCACACCAGGCACAGCAGCCATTGGAGGTGAACCAACGGCAAAAGGAAGACCTTTTTCTCTCTCTCTCTCTCTCTCTCTCTCTCACTCACTCACTCACTGTCCACTCTGCCTGTCAAAAAGAAAAAGAAAACTGGATCAGAAGCAGAGCAACCAGGACTATGCCAGCATCACAGGCAGCAGCTTAACCTGCTGTGCCACAACACCTGCCCTAGCAAGTTTTTATTCTCAAAGAGGACAATAAACAAACTGGAGAATCATTTACATTACATTAAGTTTGATGTCCTGTGACACTTCAAGCTGGAGAGGCCTAGAAGCTAGGCATTCAGTCTACTCAGGGGAAAAAACTATGTTTAAAGATAGAAATGAGGCCGGCGCCGCGGCTCACTAGGCTAATCCTCCGCCTAGCGGCGCCGGCACACCGGGTTCTAGTCCCGGTTGGGGCGCCGGATTCTGTCCCGGTTGCCCCTCTTCCAGGCCAGCCCTCTGCTGTGGCCAGGGAGTGCAGTGGAGGATGGCCCAGGTGCTTTGGCCCTGCACCCCATGGGAGACCTGGCTCCTGGCTCCTGCCATCGGATCAGCGCGGTGCGCCGGCCGCAGCGTGCCGGCCGCGGCGGCCATTGGAGGGTGAACCAACGGCAAAGGAAGACCTTTCTCTCTGTCTCTCTCTCTCACTGTCCACTCTGCCTGTCAAAAAAAAAAAAAAAAAAAAGATAGAAATGAAAAAAAATCATAAATCTTTAGGAGGAAGGGTGGACAAAGGAAAATGAGCCAGAACAGCATACTCAGGGAAACGAACTGAAGGAGGAAAATTTAGGGAAAAGGTGGCGTTAGAAAAGCCAAGAGAAAAAGTTCCAAGGAAGAAGAAAGGGGGTCACGACTATCAGATACAACAGAAAGGTCAGGTAGAATGAGAATGGATCAGTGATTTTTTAAAAAATTAGGATTTTTAAAAAATTAGGGGCCAGCATTGTGGCATAATGGGTTAAGCTTCTGCCTGCAACACCAGCATCCCTTATGGATCAGTTCGTGACCCTGTTGCTCCACTTCTGAACCAGCTCTCAGTAAATGGCCTGGGAAAAGCAGTGGAAAATGGCCAAGTATTTGGGCTCCTGCCATCCAAGTGGGAGACTCAGATTCAGCTCCTGACTCCTAACTTCAGCCAGGCCTAGCACTGGTTGTTGGAGCCATCTGGGAAGTGAACCAGCAGATGGAAGATTTCTCTCTCCCACTCTCTGACTTTCAAAGAGAAAGAAAAAAATGGGAGCCAGTGTTGGCACAGCAGGTTAAACTACCGCCTGCAGCGCCAGTATCCCATGTGGGCACCAAAGTGAGTGCCAATGTGAGTCCTAGCTGTTCTACTTCCGATCCAGCTCCCTGCTGACGTGCCTGGGAAAGCAGTGGAAGATGGCCTAAGACCTTGGGCTCCTGCACCCACATGGGAGACACAGATGCGGCTCATGACCCAGCCCCAGCCATTGTAGCCATCTGGGGAGTGAAGCAATAGATGGAAGATCTTCTCTTTCTTTCTTTTCTTTTCTTTTTTTTTTTTTTTTTTTAAGATTTATTTATTTATTTGAAAGAGTTACACAGTAAGAGAAGGAGAGGCAGAGAGAGAGAAGAGGTCTTCCGTCCTCTAGTTGACTCCCCAGTTGGCCACAACAGCTGGAGCTGGGCCAATCCGAAGCCAGGAGCCAGGAGCTTCTTCTGGGTCTCCCATGCAGGTGCAGGGGCCCAAGGAGTTGGGCCATCTTGTACTGCTTTCCCAAACCATAGCAGAGAGCTGGATCAGAAGAGAGCAGCCGGGACTAGAACCAGCACCCATATGGGATGCCGGCACTGCAGGTGGCAGCTTTACCTGCTACGCCACAGCGCTGTCACCCAGATCTTCTCTGTTTCTCCCTCTCTTTCTCTCTTAACTCTACCTTTCAAATACATGTCATTTTTTAAAATAACAATAATTTGGGGCCGGCACTGTGGCGCAGCAGGTTAAAGCCCTGGCCTGAAGCACTGGCATCCCATATGGGCACCGGTTCTAGTCCCAGGTACTCCTCTTCTGATCCAGCTCTCTGCTATGGCCTGGGAAAGCAGTACAAGATGGCCCAAGTCCTTGGGCCCCTGCACCCATGTGGGAGACCTGCAGGAAGCTCCTGGCTCCTGGCTTCGATCAGCGCAGCTCTAGCCATTGCGGCCATCTGGGGACTGAACCAGCGGATGGAAGACCTCTCTCTTTCTCTCTCTCTCTCTCTCTCTCTCTGTAACTCTGTCTTTCAAATAAATAAATCTTTTCAAAAAATAATAATTTTTTAAAGTCAGGATATAATATTACTAATATTTAATAATGGCACAGCAATGTACATTATCTGGTAACTTGTCTCTTTCTGATCATCTGTTTTAGCTATCATCGTCCATGATGCTGGAGTGTGAGAGAGGAGCTGTGTGACCTGCCCCCCAGAAACAAGGCTGCTTAGCTGCTCAGTCTCGAATGACATTGGAGGGAACTCTAGCACTTCTCAGCGCTGCCAGAATCGCATCCTCTGGGATCTAGATCTGGGGTACACAGCACTTCTATGAATGTAGCATTTCACTGGAAGGGATTCCCACGTGCTACCCTGGGACAAAAGTGAACACTCGTCAGTGTTGTTGAGCTTTTCAATATTGCAACATACTTGAGGGGCTTTCTCGACCCAGCCACCAAAGTTCTGGGCCACTTGCAGGTTCTGGGTTTTATTGGCTCCCTGTACCCTCATCCCATGATGGCTGTGCTCATAGTTGCACCATTAACCTTACTTGCCCCGCCTGGGTTCTGAGACCCACTTGTGCAGCAGTAATTCCAGCCATCTGCAGGTCCTTTGACAGAGAAGCCCCTACCTCCAGGGGAGGCCGCACCCACGCTGGCGTGTCAGTGGAAAGCGCGCACTGAACCGCCTGTGACAGCAATACCGTCCTCCGCGGGCTCTGAGCCGGCGGGCCTTCAGGATCTGACAGAAGTCGTCCTGATTGTATTAAAAAGTGCTCTTGAAGATGGAATGGGAACTTTATGTTTTCCTTGTCATAAACAGTCTGAGCTGCAACCAGAATCTAAGTTGGTTAAATGAAAAAAAAAAAAAAAAGTGTGTATTTTCTACACATGAACACAAACAAAAGGCCTTAATCTTAATACCAGCTTGGCAGAAAACTGACTTGCGGCTGAAGTTTTACAGGCTGTTGTATTATGTGAAATGTTACTGTGCATCACTCTAACCAACAGATGTATTCTCCATGAAGCAGCGTTTTAGCACCTCCTTGGGAGCACCTGTGTGCTGTCGGTCCCCACGCTCCCAGCCAGAATCACAACTAAGTTGTAAGGGGTGTGGGGTCTGCCAGAGGAACAGGGCTGGGGAGCAGCATGGAGGGGCTCGGTCACAGCCCACTGCTCCTGTCTCCTTCCCAGTGCTGTCTGCCCTCTCCTGCTGCACAGTCCCTTTCCACGCCAGTCCTGACCCTCCTGCCCTCCTGTGGCAGCTGCCACCTCGCTCACCCCTTCTCATCCATGCAGTAGCCAGTATGGTTGTTACCTGGGCATGGACCCAGCCCCCAACTCCTTTTGTATTTATAATATATATTAATATGGTTTCCTGAAACGAAATTTTTATTTTTATGGAAAACCAATCAGCCTCACTATTTCCATCTAATTCCTATCCAGACTATAAGTGGGAAAACATAACTTCTATTGTAACTGAAGACTGTGACTTTCTTTCACTTAATGTTTAGGACATTGTGGCCTTGCCATGGGTTTCTTCTGAGTTACCCTGCAGTCCCTGTCTTGTTATATGTGCGTCCTTCACGTTTTCTTCCTTTCACGTCCATTAAAGACTTGTTGAAGAATCAGACTATCAGGTCAAAAAAAAAAAAGCTGAAGTGGCCTTAAAGGTAGTGTCTTCTCTGTGGGGAAAAGGAGGGATTTGGATTGCTCAGTTACTGTTAGACGTTTCTGGCTATGGAAGTAACACTAGAACCACATCTTCTTGAGCTCAGTACCACTCGGAGATCAGCGATGATTCTCCTGATCTGTAGAGGTCTGAATGTAAGGTGGCCCACGTGACGTGACTGCCACCTGGACTTGTAACCTCTTGCTCGACGGTGTGGGGACTGCTTGGCTTTATGCCCGCATTCTCTGTGGCCCTCATTTAATGAGGTTTTCCAATCCTTCCTTCACTGCCTTTCTTTCCCTTAATGTGCCAACCCTGAAACAGGACTTGATTTCTGGAACTACTTGTCTGCCTCTATGTGCCACCAAGGAATCTGGATGAATGTTCTCATGTTCTTGAAATAAGACACTCTGGGGGTCAAAGTCTGTTGAGGGTTTTTTTGTTGTTATGTATATAAAAATGGATCTTGTGTTCCTTTGCTGTGTAAGTTGGTACTGTCATGGAAACTCACAATCATTATGTAAAAAAGAAATAAAAGCCTGGTATACTTCAAGATTCTTCCCTGATGTACAGAATCTCCTTGTAAAATAAATCATTTTGTTGTATATCAGTCTTCCCATCAATATTAATTATTAAAGTATTTTAGAATTTTAAAATATCAAACTATACAATTCTGGTGTGAGGCATTTATTTCTTAGGTTTGATTATTCTGAAAGATTAAAGCCAACTTAAAAAAACACCTAAAACAATGTTAATGACTGTAAATAAGAATTAGATGGGGATGGGGAAAATAGGACATTTCATGTAGCCAGTGAGGTCAGTCATGTCTGTGTCTGACTCTGCACAGACCACAGAGAGGGAAGCAGGCTGTGAAGCCTGAATTTCCCGGGTACTGTACTAAATGTTTCGCCTGTAGCCCACCCCTTACCTGTTAATGAAAGTGAACTCATTTTACCAGTGAAGAAACTGAGGAATGGTTGCTTCCCCTAGGTCAAAACAAATTATGTAATCACTCTTCACATATATTTAAGGACAGGCACTTGCATTCCGTTCAGTTGGCCCTCCAAAGATTTACTCATATGAACATGATTGGACCTCGGGCTAACAACACAAAGTGACAGCTGGCACTTGATGTCTTCCTCTGTAGCAAGCACCCCTCTTTCATTCCAAGCGGCCTCAGCAATGACTCACTTTGTACTTGTCACCTCAGAGACTCGCTTTGCCAGGGGTTAAAAGAAATATGGGCTGGCGCCACAGCTCACTTGGCTAATCCTCCACCTGTGGCACCGGCACTCCGGGTTCTAGTCCCGGTTGGGGCGCTGGATTCTGTCCCAATTGCTCCTCTTCCAGTCCAGCTCTCTGCTGTGGCCCGAGAGTACAGTGGGAGATGGCCCAAGAGCTTGGGCCTGCACCCGCATGGGAGACCGGGAGGAAGCACCTAGCTCCTGGCTTCGGATGCGCTGGCCATAGCAGCCATTTTGGGGGTGAACCAACGGAAGGAAGACCTTTCTCTCTGTCTCTCTCACTAACTTGGCCTATCAAAAAAAAAAAAAAAATATATATATATATATATATATATGAGTCAGAATTGTTCCTGTCAGTGGGTTTTATCTGCTCCAGATTTTCCTTGTACTAGCTCCAAAGAGCTCAAATTGCTATTGCACTTTTGAGATTAAACTGTCTCAGCTGTTTGCTGAAACACACAATGCCCAGTGGCTGCTGACAAAATGAATGAATTTGGGGCTTTTGGGGTTTAAATTAACTGTAGCCCCAGAAGAAAGATTTGGAAAACTATTACCAGAAAGGGCAAGTCCAGATGCCAGCAATGTGGTGCCGCAAGTCCTGGCTGCTCCACTTCCAATCCAACTCCCTGCTAATGTGCCTGGGAGAAAGCAGTAGAAGATGGCCCGGTGCTTAGCCCCTGCCACCCACATGGGAGACCCAGAAGAAGCTCCTGGTTTCAGCCTGGCCCAGACCTGGCCATTACAGCCATTCGGAGCAATGAAGATCTCTTTCTGTCCCCGCCCCTGCCCTGTAACTGTGCCTTCCAAAAATAAAAAGGTGGGTCCAGAGGTAGGCACTGTGACATAGCAAAAGGAACCTCTTAGGATGTCTGCATCTTATATTGGGAGTGCTGGCTCTTCTTCCAATCCAACTTCGTGCTCATGCACCTGGGAAGGCAGCAGATAATGGCCCAAGTACATGGGAGATCTGGATGGAGTTCTGGCTCCTGGCCTTGGCATGGCCCAGCTCTGGCTGTCACAGGCATTAGGGGAGTGAACCAATAGATGGAAGATCTCTATCTCTCCCCACTCTGTTACTCTGCCTTTCAAATCTTTTTTTAAAATGGCAATGCATATTGAATGGGCAGGGGATCTTAGAAAAGATGAGAGGGAGCGGTGGCCAGCACTGTAGTGCTTATAGCCGCTGTCTGCAGCGCCAGCATTCCATATGGTTGAGTCCCGGCTGCTCCACTTCCAATCCAGCTCCCTGTTGATGTGCCTGGGAAAGCAGCAGAGGATGGCCCAAATGCTTGGGCTCCTGCACCCACATCGAGACTTGGGAAAACTGGCTCCTGGATCCTGCCTGGCCTAGCTTTGGTCCTTGCAGCCATTTTGGGGAGTAAACCAGCAGATGGACAGTTCTCTGTCTACCTCTCTTACTGTAACTCTTTCAGATAAATAAATAAAAACTTTTTAAAAGATTTTATTCATCTGAGAGGTAGAGTTACTGACAGAGAGAGGGACAGAAAGGTCTTCTATCTGTCAATTCACTCTCCAAATGGCTGCAACAGCCTGAGCTGGGCCTAAAGGAAGCCAGGAGCTTCTTCCAGGTATCCCACACATGGGTACAGAGGCTCAAAGACTTGAGCCATCTTCTGCTGCTTTTCCAGGCCATAATCCCAGTTCTAGTTCCAGCTGCTCCACTTCTGATCCAGCTCTCTGCTGTGGCCTGGGAAAGCAGTAGAAGATGGCCCAAGTCCTTGGGCCCCTGCACCCTTGTGGGAAGACCCAGAGAAAGCTCCTGGCTCCTGGCTTCAGATCAGTGCAGCTCTGGCCATTGCAACCAATTGGGGAGTCAACTAGAGGATGGAAGACCTCTTCTCTCTGCCTTTCCTTCTCACTGTGTAATTCTGACTTTCAGAATTAAAAAAGATTTATTTATTTATTTGAGAGACAGAGATGCAGAGAGAGGGAGAGACAGAGAGAGGTCTTCCATCTGCTGGTTCACTCCCCAGATGGCTGCAACAGCCGGAGCTGAGCCAAATCCGAAGGCAGGAGCCAGCAGCTTCTTTCAGGTCCCCCACGTGAGTGCAGCGCCTCCACTGCTTTCCCAGGCCATTAGCAGGAATCGAGATCAGAAGAGCGGCCAGGATTTGAACCTATGCCCATTGGGATTCAGATGAAGGCTTAACCTACTATGCCACAGCACAGGCCCTGAATATACTTTTATTTATTCTTATTTCCCTCCCCCCCCTCCTCCTGTCAAAAAAGCCCAATCTTCCTGCACTGCATGGTCCTTACACCCTATCTGCTGCCTTTCCTATACTCCCCTCTTATAACCCATTCAATATTATAAAAAACAAACAAACAAACAAAAAAACAAAAAAAAAAAACGAAGTACCCCTGTGTTGCAGTTGATTTCTCAACAATGTTGCAGTGGATTCGTTTCTGAGAGAAGCGTGGTAGGGGCAAGAGGTGCAGAGTCACCACACAGACCCTGGGCGTCGGGAGTCGGGTGAAAGCGGGCTTGAGGCAAGCAGCCTGCAGACTCATTTATTTCAGTTAGTACAACAGCTTATATAGTCAAGACCAGCCAATCTGGTCAAGGGGCGGTCTATGCCCCAATCAATCACAGCCTGTTGCCAGGCAGTTTCCAAAGCCATTCAATCACAGCCTGTTGCCAGTCAGGCTCTTGTTGCCAGGCAGTTTCTGACCGTCCAATCACGGCCTGCCGTCAGTCAGGCTCTCTGTTGTCATGTGGTTTCCGAAGCCATCCAATCACGGCCTGTTGCCAGGCAGTTTCTGTTGTCAGTGGCCATCTTGGCATGACCTTTTCACCTCAGCGGCCATCTTGATATGACTTTTCACCTCATTCCACCACACCCGTGGACCCAGGCAACTGAGCTAAACATGGACAGGCAGCAGAGAAAGGGATAGACATAGAATCAGTTTATGGCCTCTGGTCTGTACGCACCATTTTCCCCGTCTAAAGGCATATTCACTTAGCTCACTAAGATCTAAATCCAAACTGAAATGGCCTTTCCCTGAGATGACCCCTGACTTCCGGTTCACACCACCTCCACGTGCCTATGTTCAGTGAATACACTTGAGTACCCTGATGCTGAGGGCTAGGTCCAAAGTCTTCTATCTTAACTTTTTTCCCCCAATATTTGTTTACTTGAAAGGCAGGACAGGAGAAAGAGAGAGGGAGAGAGAGAGAGGGAGAGAGATATCTTTCTTCCCAAGTGGCTGCAATAGCCAGAACTGGGCCAGAGCTAAGCCAGCAGCCAGGAACTCCATCCGAGTGTCCCACACAGGTGGCAGGGGCCCAAGTACTTGGACCCTTGGTCCTGCTTCCCTTGGTCTTCATTAGCAAGAAGCTGGATCAAAAGCAGGGTAGCTGGACTCAAACCAGCACTCCAATAAACCCACCGTGCCGGGCCACCTCCTTCCTTGGCTTCTAAGCACCCTGACTTCTGGTTCTCCTCTGATAATGCCTTCTCTGTCCTGTTGGCTTCTTCCCTGTCCATGACTTAGATGCTGAGCTTTCGTATCCTGCCACACCTCGCCCTACTCCCCTGGGATGATTTAACCATCATCTTTATTCTGACAACCCTGAAACATTTTATCGTCAATTCAGATGTCTTGCTAGAGTGCCAACCTCATATATCCCACTGCCCTTTGGACACACATACACCAGATGTTACCCAGATAATTCATTTGCAGTTCCAGTATAGACCTTACTGTATCCCCACAGCCTGCTTTCCCAAGATCAGGGTTAGAAAGCACTACATGTTTAGCCTCCCAAACCTGAAACTCTGGTATTGTTCTCAAGTTCCTCTCTTACCTCTTTATTTTTAAAAAATATTTATTTATTTGTTTGTTTGTTTGTTTTATTTGAAAGGCAGAGTTAGAGATAGAGGAAGATAGAATGAGAGATCTTCTATCCACTGGTTCACTCCCCAGATGGCCTCAATGGCTGGGGCTGGGCCAGGCTGAAGCCAGGAGCCTCCACCGGGTCTCCCATGTGGGTGCCAGGGGCCTGAGCACTTAGGCCATCCTCTGCCGCTTTCCCAGGCCATTAGCAGAGAGCTGGATCAGAAGTGGAGCAGCCAGGACTCGAACCAGCGCCCATATGGGATGCTGGTGTCATAGGCAGTGGCTTTACCCGCTATGCCACAGTGCTGGCCTTAATGGAATTTATAATGTAGTCCCCACCAGTCTCCCATATCTCTCCTACCACATGGCCACTGGAGTCACTAAAGTGCAAACATGACCACAGTAATCTTTTACTTCACAATTTACTGGCCCCCAGGATAAATTTAAAATTGTGTGGCCTAGATTATAAAATATTTTCTAATTCAGCTCTTCCCTGCTGTGCAGACTCATGGGTAGTCCAGGGGATTCTCACTCTTCTGGGAGACCACACACCAGCTGGGTTGTACCTGCTGGTTCCTCAGCCTGGATCAGTGTCACCCACCACACCCTACTCATTCACTCTACTATCCTGTAGGTTTCACTCAAATTTTAGCTCCCAGCCAAACTCGGCCTGCAGCAGATGACTCAATTGCTATGTCTCATGTTATCAGAATGCATTATTCATGTCATTCAGCACATATCAAGTAGGATAACTTGCTATCACATCTTCCCACACCCATCCTAATTTTTTTTATTTGAGAAGCAGGCTGACAGAAACAGAGACAAACGAGCAGAGTTTCCCCAACTGCTGGTTCACTCCCCAAATGCCTGCAATCCAGGCTGAAGCTGGGAGCTGAGAACTCAATCCAAGTCTCCGACATGGGTAGCAGGGACCCAACACTGGCTGCTTCCCAGGGCAAGTGCCAGCAAGAAACTGCAAGTGAGAGTGGCACCCAGACTGAAACCCAGGTCCTCAGATATGGGACATGGGCATCCCAGCCAGCAGCTTAACCATTTGGACAAACCTGCACCACAAATTGCTGTTTGATATCTATTTCTGTGTTTGATATCTACTGTTCTAAAGTTAAATCTGAGAAATTTAAAAAATATTAACACTTCCAAATAATAATCCTATTATATGTACATATTAATATTATATGTATTTTTAAAAATAATTTTCATTTTATTTGAAAGGCAAAGAGGCAGAGATAGACAAATGGAGAGAGACCTTTCATCTGCTGGTTCACTTCCCAAATGCCTACAAAAGCCAGGGCTCAGCCAGGCCAATGCCAGGAGCCCAGAACCCCATCCGGGTGTCAGGGACCCGTGTTCCTGCATCACCTACTGCCTCCTAGGATACACATTAGCAGGAAGCTGGACTGGAGGCAGAGGAGCAGGGCTTGGTATCAGGAACTCTATGGGATACGGGCATCCCAAACAGCAACGTAACCCCTGTGCCACATCTCCACCCCAGCTCATGTATTTTTAGGAAAAAACTGTTTTCCAAAAATAATTAGTAAGAAGAGTAGTATTAAAATTTTTGCAAATCTCTTTGATGTCTAGTTTAACAGATGTCAATTCAATTCTCATATCTGCATATACATTTAATCTAGTAGTGGTAATGATGTTTTGATTCTAGTATGTGAAAACCCAACCTCATACAGATACACAGCTCAAAAAGATGGCAGCCATTCTTTCAAGTAAAATGCTATTCTGAAAAAAAAAAATGAGGCTACTTCAGCTCATAACTCAATCACATAAGTGAATCTGAAGTGCTTTAAGTATATTTTGTCCCACAAAATATTAAAGAGATACTTAGAAGTTGAGAACTAACCAAACTGATTATTTTTACTTCCTCATTAAGAACAGTTTTAGGGGGGCCAGTGCTGTATGTAGCGGATAAAGCCACTGCCTGCAGAGCCAGCATCCCACATGGGTGCCAGTTTGAGTCCTGGCTGCTCCTCTTCCAATCCAGCTCTCTGCTATGGCCTGGGAAAGCAGCAGCAGATGGCCCAAGTGCATGGGCCCCTGTATCCATGTGGGAGACCTGGAAGAAGCTCCTGACTCCTGGCTGAATTCTGGCCATTGAAGCCATCTAGGAAGTAAACCAGAGGTTACGAAGATCTTTCTCTCCTTCTCTCTGTGTGTGTATGTCTCTCTTTCTCTGTAGCTCTTTCAAACAAATAAATAAATATAAAAAAAAATTTTTAGGGGTGGGCATCCAGCCCAGCAGTGAAGACACTGGTTAGGATACCTGCATCCCACATCAGAGTGCCTGGGTTTGGTAACTGGGCTCCACTCCTGACTCCAGCTTCCTTCTAATGCAGACCCTGGGTGCTCACTTTGGCAGCACCCTACTAATGCAGACCCTGGGAGGTTGCCACAGCGAAGGCCCAAGTGGTTTGGTACCTGGCACCCACAAGGGAGACACCCCGACCAGTCCTGGCTCCGGGTTCAGACCCAGTCAGGAAGAGGCACTGCGGGAATTAGAGGAGTGAACCAGCAGATGGCGCGCGTGCACGCTCTTAAATGTGTGGGGGGGGACCCTGTTAGGTGAAAATGAATTTTTTAAGAACTGATTTTGTGGGGCCGCGGCTGTGGCACAGTGGGTTGAAGCCCTGGCCTGAGGCCCCAGCATCCCATATGGACACCAGTTCTAGTCCCCGGCTGCTCCTCTTCCGATCCAGCTCTCTGCTATGGCCTGGGAAAGCAGCCCAAGATGGCCCAAGTGCTTGGGCCCCTGCACCCACATGGGAGACCCGAAAGAAGCTCCTGGCTCCTGGCTTCGGATCGGTGCAGCTCTGGCTGTTGCGGTCATTTGGGGAGTGAACCAGCAGATGGAAGATCTCTCTGTCTCTACTTTTCTCTGTAACTCTTTCAAATAAAATCTTAAAAAAAAAAAAAAAAAAAAAACCTGATTTTGTGATGCACATAATGAGTACCGGTACAGTTTGGTGACAGGCTCCTGAATTGTACCAAGGCTCCAGGAGTTTTACTCACTGTGCTTTCTACACAGTGTCAGGGTCAACAGAGCAAAAAAGTCAAATGAAGCCTAAGTATTGTTATGAAAGTTTTGCCAGCAGGGACCCAGCAAAGTCTCAGGGACCCTGGGGTCTGCTGACCACACTTCGAGGACCACAGATCTGGGCTGTAAAATTTTAGTAATTGCACAAACGTCCCAGAATTGCTGTGATACTAAGTGACGTGTAAAGTGCCCGGCACAAAAACTCGAATAGAACAGAGCGCACCTTCAATGCTTGTATCCCATCCAGCCCGGCTGGGAGGGCTCCAACCACTCCAGTTTGCAACATTTCACTGGGTCGTGCACTTCAAGCCCTTCTTTCCTTGCCGGCCTCTTTGCGGCGGGGTTTTGGATGTGGTTAGTTTCCCGTTTTTGACCAGCGCCAGGTGGACCTGCTCCGGTCGTGCACAGGTTGCTACGTTTTAGCCAACTGGGCTAGCAGCGCTTCGGTCCTTTTACCTATGCATTTTTCAAAAGGCACCTTCCACGCGTGACAGGGCAGACTCACTCCCCTTCGAGCGTCTTTGCATTTACGTAGATGTTTTTTTCGTACTAAGTTTTTTTTTTTTTTTTTTGTAAGCACATTGATTATCCAGAGATTTTCTGACCAGCTTCCCTGCAGCACACCCTGCAGACTAAGTGAACTGATTATGAAGTAAAAACTCTGCTACATACCTATCTGTCAGAAAAACACATAGCCTGTTTCTGCGACTCACAACCCCCAGCGAGCACTGGCACGAGGACGCCAGACCGGGAGACCGCTCTACTCCAGGTAGCGGCTGCCCCGATAGGCAGTCCATTCCCAGGGGCCTTAGCGACTGTCCGATTCCCGAACTGCGCATGTGGCTGCGCAGGCGCAGTAGACACGCCGTGACTTCCGGGCACTGCAAAAGGTATAAATACGGATGCGTTGCGCCGCTTCGGTCTTTTATCCAGAAGCTTGGGCGGTGGTGTGTTTCGTCTTGGTGAGTGTCTAGCGTTTCTCTTTAGTCCTGGATCTACTCTTTGTGCTCGGCAAGCAGCCTTTCCTGCGAGGAATGTTTTATGCTTAGAACTCGGGCACGCGACGAAGCCTGGCCGGTGCGGCCCGCGGCGGCCTGGCGACCGCGACCCTGGGATAGCCGCGGGGCCCGCCGCCCACGCCTGCCTTCTGTCGGTGGAGCCGTTTATCTGGCTGCATCCTGGCGTGCACCCCCTCCGCGGAGTCGGGCCCCAAATGCGGTTTCTAATCCCATCTCTCGCGCTTGACAACTGCGATTTCCAGCAGCTGGCTCCCGGGGCCGCAGCCACTTATACGAAGTTTTAGTGGCTTAGCCCCGCGCTCTTGAATTTGGATTTATGGCTGCCGCGCCCGGGTTCTTAACGTCCTGATGTACACGGCTTTGCCATTAGCTTCCGCAGGGCAGTAGTAACCCGTTGAGCTTCTCAGCAGTGTTTCCTGTGGAACGAGTCGCCGGGGATTTAATTCTGGTCGCCGATGGTGTGACCGTGGAGGGGTTTTGGAGTTTCGCGTGTATGACCAGCGCACTCACCCGCAGAGGAGACGCGTTACACGGGCTGGGCCGTCCAACGTGGACACCCCGGGAGGTCACTCTCCCCGGGCTCTGTCCAGGTGGCACAGGGGAGCACAGGGCTCTGCCCGATGACGTACAGTCCCTTCCCACGCCGTTGGAGAGGAAGCGGGCCTCGAGTCTGCGCCTGCATATTCCTACAGCTTCCCAGAGTCCTGTGGACAATGACTGGGGAGACAAACCATGCAGGAAACAGCTGCCCGGAACATTCGGTCCGAGTAAGACTCCCTCCTATTTGCTTCATTGCATTGATAACTTACTTTGTTTTTGCAGAAATTCTTTCAGGATTCCAAACAACTTGTCCAGGGTGAGTAGATCTGCTTTTGAGTTGGTTTTGGCTTACTGTTGGTCCGGTGGGTTTTTTGGGTGGTTTCTTTTTAAATTCTCCTGGTTTGTGCAAGACAAACTGGTGCGTTTCTAACAGGCCTTCCTTTTCCTTGTGTAGTTGGAGTTGAGAAGGGGTGTTGAAACTGTCCTGAGGGCTTGGGGTATTCGGTTACCTCCAGTTTGCTGCTGATTCCAACGTGGACACCCCGGGAGGTCACTCTCCCCGGGCTCTGTCCAGGTGGCATAGGGGAGCACAGGGCTCTGCCCGATGACGTACAGTCCCTTCCCACGCCGTTGGAGAGGAAGCGGGCCTCGAGTCTGCGCCTGCATATTCCTACAGCTTCCCAGAGTCCTGTGGACAATGACTGGGGAGACAAACCATGCAGGAAACAGTCTCAGCATGCTGAAATTTCACATTGAAATGAGGTGTTTGAGAGTCTGATGCTATGTTTGTTGCTTTTCAGGAGAGAAGAGGAGCCACACTTCTGGGCATCAGCTCCTTTATTTAGCAAGAGTTGGTAAAGAACTTCTTTTAAAAACAGCACATTCTAAAGATTTTTGGGATTCATGAGATTTGGGTTTTTTTAGAGTAATGTATTTCTGATGTAAAATGTTTGTTAACAGTTCTAAAAATATTCATGTATTGTGAATTGAAATAAAGGTGATTTTGGATTTGTGTGGTTCCTTTTATGGGGAAAAATGGTTCTATGAGTGGTGCTGTTTAACCAGTTCTTGCATAATGGGTTCCATGCTTAAATCTTGGGCTGTTCCTTCCCTCAAGTGTTTAGCTTATGTCAGCCATTGTTCGATGGGGATGATGGGAGGTGTGTGTGGTGTTCCTACAGAATGATTAAAGGCAACTGCCCTGATGGAGGAGGGGGTTTGTGTGGGGTTCAGGTGCTGCTCACTGAATCCTGTTCCCACAGTGTAGCACAGGGGACGGTGCCTTAACAGCTGGATCTGGTGCTGGGGTATTTGGACAGATGAGTGCTCTTGCTTGATGATGTGAGGAGGTTGAGTCACAATGACTCCATTGTCAAGCTGCTGTTCTGGCTCCCAGCATTAAAGGATAAGCCCCTGGAGGATGGGGGCCAGAGGGGTGCCATCTAGAAGGTAGGGATGGTGGGACAGCCATGACTCCAGGTCAAAGTGGGTGAATTTTATTAGTTGGAAGACACTGGTTATGAGCCGAGAAAGCTTGGGGTCTTGGTTTTAGGGGTTGAAAGGCAGGACTTCATCTGGTTCGCTCCAAATGGCTACAGAAGCCAGTGTTGAGCTGTCAGAGCCAGGAGATCAGGTGCTTGTCACTTGCAGGCATTCAGCAGGGAGTTAGAACAGATCTAATATGGCTCATTTGAGTGCCAACTCCCAGGAGATACTCTTTATTTGAAAGGCACTGGGGAGACAGGCCTTCATCTGCTGGTTCATTCCCCAGTTTGCCACAAATGGCTGGAGCTGTGCCGATCTGGAGCCAGGAGCTTCTGGGTCTCCTATGTGGGTGCAGGGGCCCAAGCATTTGGGCCACCTGCTGCTCTCCCAGGCGGTAGCAGAGAGCTGAATTGGAAGTGGGACAGCTGGGTCTTGAACCAGCACCCATATAGGATGCTGGTGCTTCAGGCCACAGCGCCAGCCCCTGTGTGTGTGTGAATGTGACCTGTATTCCAGTGGGCTAAATTACTGCCCAGGTCAACAGGCAATCAAGCACCTGCACAGAGGAGCAGGTATCCTTGCTCAGGAAGGAGGTGAGGGTAGGGTCTTGGTTTTCTAGGACCAGGGCTGTGGCTGCTTTCTCAGCACACACTTCGACTCAAGTAGTTTTTCGACCCCCCAGTGAACAGGATTTGGGGACTCTGGCCCAAATTACCAAGTGACTGCAGTACTGGGCAGCAGGAATATTTGCAGTTCCCATCTACGAACCAGATGCAAGTAAGGCAAAGCTAAGTTTGCAGATGTTTCCTGAAGATGTCAAGTTCTGAGCGTTGTTTCAGGGTAGGCAGGTAAACCGGTTAAACTGCAAGTGTTTGGGTCCAAATGCCAGTTGAAGGGCAAGCATTCTAGTTAAGCCACCACCTGAAACACCTCGGTCAGTGTGTCCTGCCCCCACCCTCCAATCCAGCTTTGCACTTTGGAGGCAGCAGCTAGTTGCATATTCCCCTGCCAGCCATGGGGAGACCTGGTTGGAATTCCAGACTCCTGACAGCCCCAGGTGTTGCAGGTATTAAAGTAGTGAGCCAGCTGATGGAAGATCTCCATGCCTTTCCAAATAAAGGTCTCCTAATTTTGAGTAGATGAGCCTTAAAGTTCAAATCCTTTGTTTCATAATGCCTGATACATTTCAAAGATTTGAGAGGCAGATTGAGGGAAGGAGGGAGAGACAGGTCTTCCATCTGCTGGTTTACCCTCCAGGTGGCCATAACAGCCAGAACTGGTCTGATTCAAAATCAGTTGGGTTTCCCATGCAGGTGCAGGGGTCCAAGCACTTGGGCCATTTTCTACTGCTTTCCCAGGCCATAGCAGAGAGCTCGATCAGAAGAGGAGCAGCTGGGACTTGAACCAGTGCCCATATGGAATGCTGGTGCCACAGGCAGAGGCTTAGGCTAGTACGCCACAGTGCTGGCCTCATCTTTTTAAAAACAATTTCATTTTACTTGAAAGTTCTGGGGCCAGCGCTGCAGCGCAGCAGGTTAAAGCCTTGGTCTGCAATGCCGGCATCCCGTCTGAGTGCCAGTTCGAGTCCCCGCTGCTCCATTCCAACCCAGCTCTCTGCTATGGCTTGGGAAAGCAGTAGAAGATGGCCCAAGCACTTTGGCCCCTGCACCCGCGTGGGAGACCCGGGGAAAGCTGCTGGCTTTGGATTGGCATAGCTCCAGCTGTTATGGCCCTCTAGGGAATGAACCAGCAGATGGAAGACCGACCTCTATATCTGCCTCTGCCTCTCTCTAACTCTGCCTTTCAATAAATTAAAAAAAAAAAAAAAAAACAAAAAACTCCCATCCACTTGTTCATTCCCCCCAAATGACTCTAAGGGCCAGAGTTGGGCTGGGCTGAAACCAGGAGCCCAGAATTTCATCTGGGCGGCAGGGACCCAAGTACTTCAGCCATTACTTACTGACTCCCAGGGTGCACGTTAATACGAAGGCAGAGAAGCCAAGACTTGAAACAGGCACAGGATGCAGGCATCCAAAGCAATGACTTAAACTAAACCCTGGACCAAACGTCTGCCCCCTTAGTCTTGTTAATCCCAGCCAGTGGAGTTGGCATCTTCAATACTGTTGTTTTCATATGGAGTTCACTTTGTCTTTATAACTTCCATATCTCTACTTTTGGAACATAGGGAATCCATTTAACTTTTAGTGGCCTATTTGCATCCGTCCTGGGTTAGGTTCAATTGATTGGTCTCTTAATAGTTCACATTCAATAAATGAAATGAAAACAATGCAAAAAAAGTTGAAAGCTGAGTTCAAAGAAAAGCAGGTGGAGGAGAAATTGAGCCTTCTCCTGACTATCCAGAATTGAGCTAGCACAGAAGGAAGCCCACTTGTCAAGAAAGTGCAGCTCAGGTGCCGGGGAGAAGGAGTGAGTGAGCACTAGGACGGTACCGATCTACAGGAGAAGTGGGAAGTGGTCAGTGTGGGGCGTGTGCAGCCTGGAGCTCCAAGCATAGCTCTGAGAAGCGCTTGTTGAACTGGCCCAAGTTTTTCTAAACAAGGTGACGTCTCAGCCATGATTTAGGCTGAGGATCTGGATGGGATGAAATAGGAGAAAATGAGAGGCAGGAGGGCGGTGCTTCAGACGAGCACCAAGAGAAACATGAAGAGGAGGTGGATCAGAATGAACAGTAAGGTCTGAAACTGCTTTTCAGAGAACGCTGACCTTGGTAGGAGAGGTGAAGCTGGGGAGGGAGTCCAGATTTGCGGGAAGGTACCAGGTTTTATTTTAGACTCAGTGGGAGGCGTGGGTCTTCTGGGTGGAGGTCAGGACCAGCCTGTCAGCTACAAGAAGAGGTCCCCAGTCCTGAACAAGAATTCCAGCCCCCTCCACCACTCGGGCGGTACCCAGGGAACTTGCCTAACTTTGAACCTAGTTTCTCTCATTTTCCCAACCACCAAGAGGTTTTTGTGAAGAACAAGTCAGCTAATGGATGTGGATTTGTTTCTGTACAAGAAACAAAGGGCTTTGAAAAATAGGCACTAATTTTTTTTTGTAATTACATTAAGCCATGTGAATGAGTAAGATCTTCAAGAAAGAAGAAAGATCAGATATCCCAGGGATTAAATTGGAGACATTGCACAGTGTATCATCCAAAAGAAGTGTGCATGATGGAGGCAGAGGTAAACTTGAAGAGGTAAGAGACGCGTGGCGGGGGGGCAGTGCTTTGGGGTGGGCTCTGAGTTCTGGTGTGGTAGGAGGACTTTTCAGAGTGAAAATCGACGTGACAGGGAGAAAATGTCCCCTTGCAGAGACGGCTGCCCTTCCCTGAGAAGCCTCCCGAGTCAGATGGCCTGAGAGGTCTCCTCAGGGAACACCTTAAATCCACAACAACTGTGTTTCGCTTGGTGCCATTTTTAAGTCTCCAGCTCCCAACTCCATACTCATGCTGCTCTCCTTTCTTACCTGGTCTCCCTCACTCCTCTTGCTCACCCCCTCTCTTTTTTAAGTTTTTTTTTTTTATGCAACTCTTTCTTTTTTCTAAATTAAAAGGTAGAGTGGCAGAGAGGGAGGGAGACAGAGAAAGATCTTGCAGACTCTGGATCGATCCTAAAATACCCACAACAGCCAGGGATGGACTAGGTTGAAGCAGGGGCCCAGAACTCCATCCAGGTCTCCACGTGGGTGACAGGAACCCCAAGTGGTTGAGCCATCAGCGGGAAGCGACCCAGGGTGCGGCAGGGTGCGCACCTCTTCAATCTTATCTTCCCTCCCGCCCAAATCCATTCTGTTCTCAAGCACAGATCCTATCATGTGATTCCCATGCCCAAATCCCTGCCTTAGGTGGCTTCCTCAGGGCAGAGGCTGTGCTCCTTAGACATAGGGCCCTGCTCCCTCCCGCGGGCTCCCGCAGCTTCCTCTCCCTGCCGGACTGCTTCTCGGAGGATGCCCTCCTAGACTCAAAACCCGTCTTTCAGCCCAGGCGGGTCCAGCGGCCTTGTGCTTCCTGATAGTCTGATTTCTCTTCCTTCTCCACGGAGACCGTATTTCGGGCAGGGAAGATCGGTAGCTTTTTCTCCGCAAAGTCTGCGCCCCAGATTCTCCCAGACAAAGCCGGATACAGGTAGCCTTTCCGGTCGATCCCAAACAGCAGCATCCAGGCCAGGGGCCAGAGCTGGGTCCAAAGCTCCCCGGCCTGGGAGCCGCTTGCACTTCCCGGGGGTGCCGCCAGGGGCCGCCGGCCTCTTTGTTTTTCTCCGGCCCAGGGTCGGGGCCGGAGGCCCGCAGAGCGCATGCTCTGGGGCAGTTTCGCGGCCGGGCCGGCGAGAGCTGGAATTCCTTGTGGTCGACCCGCATCGAGGTAGGTCGTGGGCGACACGGGCGGAGAGTCCGGGCGGAGGGCGGCGCGGCGCGGCGCGGCGGGCGGGCGGCCGCAGCCGAGCACCGCGGGCTCCGCGGCGGGCCGGGTCCGTTGCCCGCGCGCGCCGTGTCGCGCGCCGCCGACCCCACGTGAGGCCGAGCGGTGAGAGCCGCGGCGCGGGCGCGCGTGCCCAGCCCCGCGGGGGCGCCCGGGCTGCGGTCGGGCCCCGCCTCGCTCGAGCGAGGGCCGCGCGGCCCCTCCGCCGCCGCGCCTCTCGCGGCCGCGCCGCGGCTCCCCGCGCGGGCGGGAGATTCAAACGGCCAGAGCGCGACGGGCGGGTGGCGCGGCCGCAGTGCCCTCCCCCCGGGCCCGGGGTGCAAAGACCCGCGCGGGTCCTGGGCGGAGGTCGCGTTCCGCGGCGGGACCAGTGGTTTTGTGCGAGATGAGTTTGGAGAAAGCGGTGTCTGGGACGGGAATGGGGTGGGGGTGGGGGCCCTGCAGGGGGAAAGGGGCTGTTTTGATGGAGCTCCAGGATGCCTGGTGGGGGTCGGCTGCGGGGAAAGGACTCTCCACGCCCACAGGCACCGGGCGGGCGGCTTTGGGCCGGTGGCAGGGGCGTGCCCCGCACTCCGCAGCCGCTCTGTTGGTCAACACTCCTGTGCTCTGTCTACGTCCTCCCGCCCCCTGGGCTGGGACAATAGTGAGCAGGGTGGGTCCCGCGTGGCCTTCACTCAGGTCTGGTCTCCTTAGAGAGGCGACCTGCAGGCCCACAGTTGCGGTCCAGCGTGATCACCGAGGTGTGCCCTTGGAGCCCTGGCCGCGCATTCATTTATCAGATACCAGCTGAACTCCTCCGGCCACGTGTGACTTGAGTGCCTGAAGGAAGTTGAGTATGGAGTGTTCCGGGGACCCTGGAGGGGACCCGTGCCCAGGAGGGTCGGGGATGGCTGTCCAGGTGAGGAGACTGTTGAACGGGGTTTTGAAGGCACGGCCGTGTTTGGTGCAGACTGGGAGTGGAGGGGTTAGGGTGAACCAGGCAGGAGGTGTAGTGAGTGTCAGGGGCACACAGGTGTTTCAGTGGCTGAGGGAAGGGGTAGCAGGATGAGACGGCAGGATCTTGGGGGCTGAGTTCAAACCTGGAAACGCTGGGTGCAGATGGAGGAGATGCAGAGTAGTCTGAAAAGATGAACCAGGAGTTACACTTCAGCGCCTGTTGCACATTCATCCCCAGAGCAGGAATCCTGCCCTGTTAGTCTTTGTGGCTATTCAGGCTCTTGGCTTCCCAGCTGGGTGCCCTTGAGTGACCTGCCAAGTCCCCCAGAGCCTTCGTTTCCAAACCTGCACAATGGAGGCAAGAGGCTCGTGGTGAGGAGTGCTAGTTCCCTGGGACTTCCACAAAACAATGACTCTTAACATCTGATGGAAGCTGTGACCTCTTTTCCAAGCATAGCTCAGGATCCAGGGCACCCGGGTGAGGAGCTCCTGGTGTGACCTGTCCCAGCTCTGTGCCTGGCATTATTAGCTCAGCAAATGTTGACACTCCCCCCTTCCCTGCTGGGAAGCCTGAATGCAAAGAGATTGTTCAGGCTGGGGGGAAAGGGGACAGCTGCTGTGGCTGGGAGGGCTTCCTCTCCAGAAAGGAGGCTGGACGGGGTTGCAGGGTCCTAGCAGGAATGGAAAGCTGGGAACCAGCCTGTGTGCCTCCCCGCTTTGTTCCGTGTCCAAAGTGCCTGAGGTGGGGGACAGCTCTGGCCCCGGGTGGCGAGTGGGCAGAGACCTGGGAGTTTGTCCCACCTGTGGATAGCCAAGGACACTTTTCCCTGGGCCTCGTCCTTCCTTATCCGTAACACAGGGCAGGTGTGTGAGCGCTGTGGCAGAGGTCGGCACGCCATAGGAGCCGGAAGACGGAAGCTGGCACTGATTCTGATTATTTGTGGCTGGAAGCTGTGTTGCGGGCGGGAACTGGAACACAGCAACTAATTGCAGACACTCAGGGCTGGGAAGGCACACCCAGAGCAGTCACAGAGCCGTCAAAGAGGACCGGTTTGTACAGGAGAGGATATGCAGGCAGATTACAGCCACAGGTTCCACCTGTCATCTACTTAAAATATTTCCAAACTGGTACTTGCTTGTTTTCTTGAAGAATTATTTATTTGAAAGGCATCGTTACTGAGAGAGAGAGACAGAGAGCAGTGTTTCATCCTCTGGTTCACTCCCCAAATGGCCACAATGGCTGCCACGGCTGGACCGGTTTCGTCCACATCTCCCAAGTGGGATGTGGATCCCATCTTCCACTGATGGGATCTGGACCAGAAGTGGAGCAGCCAGCACGCAAACTGGCACTCATGGCAGTTTATTTTTTATTGTTTGTTTTTTATTTGTTTTATTATTTATTGTTTGTTTATTTGAAAGAGAGATCACCTTCCCACTGGTTCACGCCTCCCAGGGTGCACATCAGAGGAAGCTGGTGTTGGGCACGGAGCCAGGACTGGAGTCCCAGCTCTCTCACGGAGCCAGGACTGGAGTCCCAGCTCTCTGATTCGGGATGCAGGTGCCCCAAGGGGCGTGTTAACTGCTGCGCCAGAGGCCCATCCTGCAGCTCTTGCGGGTGTGCTCGTCCCCTGCCTGCCTCTGCAGCTGCTCTCGGCAGCCATGCGATGACATGAGTCCATTAGAGAGGCCTCTGGGACCCAAGCCAGTGCCAGCCCCACCACAGCAGGGAGTAGTCCAGGCGTCAGTGGATCTGCCACCCACCTGGCCCACCCGTTTGGGCTGCCTCCATGTCTCCTCTCTGATCTCACCATCCTGTTGCTCAGTTGGCTTCTGATCTCTGCTCGGGGGGTATCCTGGGGAAGTTCCAGGCTGCCTCAGCCCCGGCCTGGATCGTGGCCTGTCCTTAGCTGACCTGTTTTTGTTTTAATAATAAGATATACCTGAGTTATTTTTCTAGTTCTCCTTTACTTTTTTGTTTATTTGAAAGGCAGAGTGACAGAGATCTCCCATTCACAGGTTCACTCCTCAAATGACCGCAAAGGCCTGGAACTCCATCCAGCTCTCCCACGTGGGTGGCAGGGGCCCCAGTACCTGGGCCATCACCCGCTGCTTTCCCAAGGAGCATTAACAGGGAGCTGGATCAAAAGCAGAGCAGCCAGGACTTGAACCAACACTCCAACATGAGATGCCGGGGTCTCAGACAGCAGCTTAAGCCACTGCACGGTGACCGTCGGCCCCTGGCTCTCCTTTATTTTCTGTGTGAATTTAGGCAAATAAATTTACCAGTCTGAGCCTCGGTTCCCTTGATTGTGAAACCAGAATGACTTTGCTGCCTTCTTCAGCTTGTGAGGAGGAATCAAAGGTTTTTGCGCGTGGGAGGTGCAGTGAGTGCCCAGTGCCCACTCCCAGACTCCTGTTTCAGGATGGAGGCTGCTGTGGTGCTCAGGCGTGAACATACGTGCATCCCAGCTTTTCTGGGAGAGAACGATTAGTTTCGGGTGGTGGCGGAGGCGTGGACAGAAGTTCTTCCTCTGGGACCAGAGGAGCAAATGGTGTGGAGATGACAGAGAGCAGTGTGGCCTGGGGGGTCTGGCAAGAGGAGAAGGGAGGCTGTGATGGATGAGGGCCGAGGCCCAAGTGGTGTCAGCGCTCCATCCTGGAGCACCGTGGCACCAGGCGGAGAAACGCGAGGCTTTTCTTCCAGGCAGGGGAACCAGCTGCTCAGGAGTCCAAGCAGGAGAGCAGCTTGTTTCAGGCTTGAGCTTCAGAAAGCTCGTGGATGGGGACGGGCAGTGGTGCGGTGCTTTAAATGCCACTTGAAACGCTTGCATCCTGTATCGGGA